CAGGACAAGGACTCGGAGGGAGCAGGCTCTTGGCCTGGAGCGAGCGCCATAATGGGCGGAATCTCGAGGCAGGGTTCAGCTCCCGGCTGGGGAGCAGAGTCTGAGGCGGCGGAGTTCGCAAGACCTTCGGATTCGTCGTCCGAAATCAGGATAGGCTCGGCCGCATGCTCCTCGGCAGCCGGCGCCTCCCCTCGATCTGCAAAACACAACAACAACACAGAGAGGAGTCAAGGGGAGACTACCTGTTCAGCCCACGCGAGAGTCTGAACGAAAAGATACCTTCGGCCGCGGCAGTCTCAGCAGCGCCCGAAGAAGAGGGCTCTTTCCTTTTCTTAGAAGCGACCCTCTTCACCTTCGGCGCCATCCGGGGTATGAGGAAGGAGAAATTTGAGTTTACTCTGGGGAAGACAATAGGCCCTCTTGATAGAGAGTAAGGGTGTTAAATACCCTAAGAACCCTAGGCGGTTATGTAGGCGTCTAAAAATGCCTATAGGTATCCACACACAGCTCGAGACAGAGAGAAGACGACGGACATTGTTATCCGAGTCTAAGAGGATTATCTGACGCCGACAAGCGCCTGAAGCAAAACGGCGAATCAAGTGACCTAAGCGCTTGACAGTCAGCTCGCGCGCGCCAATCAGCTCGCATGCGTCAATCAACACACACGCGTCAATCAACTCAAAGCATATAAATCAACGAAGCGAACCAAACACACGAAAGGACAAGTATCAAAGAAAGAGAACGGAAAAGAAAAAAAAATCAACAAACCTGCGCGAGCGCATGACAGAACAAACTGACCTGCGCGAGCGCGGGACGGAACAAACCGACCCGCGCGAGCGCGGGTCGGATTGGTCCGACCCGCGCAACCGCGGGTCGGATTGGTCCGACCCGCGCAACCGCGGGTCGGATTGGTCCGACCCGCGCAACCGCGGGTCGGATTGGTCCGACCCGCGCAACCGCGGGTCGGATTGGTCCGACCCGCGCAACCGCGGGTCGGACTGATCCGACCCGCGCAAGTGCGGGTCGGATTGGTCCGACCCGCGCAAGCGCGGGTCGGACTGATCCGACCCGCGCAAGCGCGGGTCAGACTTGTCCTGTGCGCGCTGTTTCGATCGGGTTCGGTTTTTGATGATTTTTCTCGAGATTTGTTGGTTCCAGAGGTTCCCAACTGACTTGATATCATCTACAAACGTGGTTAGGCTGTTGTCAACTGAAGATAGAGCCAAATCACTTGTTCTCATCCAAATAACCGCTTCTGAAGCCCTATAAATACAAGCCTAGGGCCTCCTTTCAGCGGGGGCGATTGATTATCAAGACGAGGAGGTGCTGCCGGATTGTGGAGTCAAAGGAGCACGAATTTCAGCGAGGGTTGACAGATCTTGGCGAGTTCTTCGGCATAAAGAAGGAGAGTTCGAGAGATCCGACGCCCGTTCCCGTCCGTCCCTTGAGATTAGGCTTGGTCTTAATCTCGAGAAGAGCCCTGATTTCGCTTGGTCGATTTCAGCGCTTCAAATCAAATACTTCCTCGGCGAAGGCGAAGCTCTGCCAAATTTTTCATCAACCGGATCCAGATCTAAGGCGGTCCACGGATAAACCCCGGCATAGGCAAAGATCCCACGCAAGCAGAAGACCGATAAACGATCTCTGCGTTTGTTTTGACGAGAGTTGTAAACTTTTGTTTTCATTGTGTAAAAGTCTTATAAAAAGACAATCTTTTTTTGTTTTCATTGTAACGATTGAAGTTGTAATGAATACCGCAATGAATACATCAATTTTCGACGCAAACAAACTGGCGACCACAGTGGGAGTACAAATCATAGTGGGGGTTTAGTGTTTATCACCTTGTTCGTAATTATCGGGTTAAGATGTTCCAGCTCGTATCGGGCTTTGGACGATTCTTAAGAGGAATAACGGGGCCACCCCCAGCGTTGTCGTCTTTAGTCTTTCACCGATTGAAGAAGACACCAGAATTCCAATCTGGGGACTTTTATCCCGAAGCCTAAGTAAGGATAGGTCAGTGTCTAATACACATTGCCGGGTAGCCTATTCCCGTAACAATGGCGAAGTCTACGTATTCAATATCGTAGCATCAAGTCTAAAGGAGTTCATTCCTTTAGCACAACGTTACATGTGGAAACGGGTTTTAATAAATTACATTGCTAAGCCCATCAAACGGTAATCTCGGTAAAGGCACGTCCAACGTTGATGGCTGGGGGTTTGCCAAAAATAGCCCAAAAGTCTATGTCTAAACACGCATCGCCGGTAGCTCTTTGACCGTAAAAAAGGACAATAGCCACACATATTCGACATTGGTCAGGTCTGTTATTAATAACGCAAAAATCCGGGCTTCACACGCACGGGGAAGTTTTATCCCGAAGCCTAAGCAGGATACAGTACAATATACGCCATAACCGCGTTGTCGGTTTAGTCTTTCACCGATTGAAGAAGACACCAGAATTCCAATCTGGGGACTTTTATCCCGAAGCCTAAGTAGGGATAGGTCAGCGTCTAACACACGTTGCCGGGTAGACTATTCCCGTAACAATGGCGAAGTCTACGTATTCAATATCGTAGCATCAAGTCTAAGGGAGTTCATTCCTTTAGCACAACGTCACATGCGGAACGGACTTAAACAATCCGCATGCTAGCCCGACTCAAACGGTAGTCGGTAAAGGCTTATCAAACCCGTTGATGGCTGAGAATTTGCCAAAAATTCTATAAATGCGAGTCATTGACGTATCAGCTTCATTAGTTGGTCTCATGACTTGAACATCCAACAAACTTCAGGATAAGATCCACACGTGCAGATGAATCAGCTTTAATAGTTGGTCCTGCAGCCCAACATTCGGGACCGTCACGCTCCAATGCCTTAAGAGCTTAAACTGTGTAGACTCTAGCAAACGTACGAGTATAAACTGTGTTAACGCCGGTCAACGCGTTACAGTAAAGATCGATGCCGGTCAACGCATCAGCAATTTCGCCAAAATAAGGCAAAAGATGACCCCAAGGATTTCAGTTACAATCAGATATGAATTTCTGACAGAGAGGATTAGTTCAAAGTCAACTCAATGGCACGAGCTAAGTTCAGAAACTTACACACCAATCTCAGTTCAAGATTTCGACAACGGTCAGACGATAAACGCAGCGCCGGAAGAACTTCATCTATTCGATGGAACAATGAATAGATTGAAGGCTGAAGAAGTTAAGAATTGAGGTAGTTAAAGGTCGCTCTACGAAATAGAGGAGATGGCCTATCTTATCCAAAGCATTCCAGACTCCTCTATAAAAGAATGAGTCTGGAATACTTTGGAGGGGGTATCTGTAGGCGTCTAAAAATGCCTATAGGTATCCACACACAGCTCGAGACAGAGAGAAGACGACGGACATTGTTATCCGAGTCTAAGAGGATTATCTGACGCCGACAAGCGCCTGAAGCAAAACGGCGAATCAAGTGACCTGCGCGCTTGACAGTCAGCTCCCGCGCGCCAATCAGCTCGCATGCATCAATCAACACACACGCGTCAATCAACTCAAAGCATATAAATCAACGAAGCGAACCAAACACACGAAAGGACAAGTATCAAAGAAAGAGAACGGAAAAGAAAAAAAAAATCAACAAACCTGCGCGAGCGCATGACAGAACAAACTGACCTGCGCGAGCGCGGGACGGAACAAACCGACCCGCGCGAGCGCGGG